AATCTGTATGCATATGCGTGTGCGTGCACGTACGTGCGTGTGCGTGCGTGCCCAAGCTATTGTGATTAAGCTTATTAAAAACTTAATCAATTCAGGCCTCATTGAATAAACTTTGCACGAGACACTACCGTATCTCTTGATAATGGTTACCTAATTGTAGATTTTACTGTTATAATAAAATTGTAAGTTATCGCGCGTAATAATTAGGTAATATACAATATATGCTTCACTTTCGGCGATTTCCTTTTTATCGAAATTAAAGACGACTTAAAGGCTTAGTTCCCGATGTTAATTAGTTTTTTAAAACTAAGATTTAATCTTTTAATGAAGTTGTTGAAACTAATAACAATCTGGGTAAGAGTTCCGTATCCGACCGAGATCCAAGTTTGATGAAATTTTACAAGCATTTATTAAATGTAATTGAATACCACAAGTACAAATGTGTGGAAACATTTTTTTGAGATATTCAAATTTTAATTATCTGGCTAAATGAATAATTTTTAAAATTTCCATATGAAAAAAGATTAGAATTTAAAAATATTTTACTAAAATGTTTTATTTTATTAATATCCTATGGGTCTATTTTGTAACTTCGTAATGACGATGTCGTTATTGTTACGTGTCGTTGCGCAGCTAAAACGTTTTGGAAAATAGCTGCGCCGTGTAACGATAACGAATTTGCCATTAAAAATTACAGTATAGAGGTACTAGGTCGGATACGGAATCCTTACCTAAGACTTTTATTAATATCTAATATTTGAAAATTATCACATTATTTTAAAAGAAGCAACTGCAGCAATGATAGAAAAATTTTACTGTGTAATTTTATTATATAAAATTATTACGTAAAATCACAATGAAAATTTTTTACAATGGAAAGTTTGTATTAGTTTAATTGTTTATTTTTAAAATAATATGTTAATTTTTAAACATTAGATATTAATGAAGTTTTCCATAATGTTCGTTAATTAATTTCTTGAATATTTATCTAATAAAGCACCTGCTAATACAATTTTATTTTATTTTAAAAAAGATATATCAATACTTTACATATTATTCCTATATTATACTTAATATATTTACTGCTATATATTTCTGTCTAGTTACAAGTATCTAAGCTATAAATGTTCAATGAAGCGCTTACTCTCAGCTCGGCTTTTGACATTGAGTCGATTAAGAGACTAGTACAAATGTGCACGAGTATATGCTTTCAAGTGCTTAGGCGTACGCATGCAGACCAGAAAGTAATTCAAGAGAAAAAAAAGGGTAGTTGAGGTGGCAACGGTGGTGACGAGGGTAGGCGTGGGAGTTTTCGCATGTGAGAGTATTGGCAACGTGCCATAGTGAACTGACCCACTTTTAATGTATAGATTGACCCGCTTGACGCCATTTTAACTTAGCGCCGTCGAATAGTCGCCACTTTTAATTCTATATATTTTCAGTTACTGTGGACCGATTTTTTAATCTTACAATTAGAATATTAAATATTTTCCGATAATTTCCAGCATGCTGCAATTAAGACAATTTATGGGAAAAGAATATATAGATAGAGATCAGAGTTTTCAAAGAATTATATATAATAAAAAATATTTAAAAA